AATAAGCCTAACTTGAAGAGAAAAAACTGAAGGACATTACGGGAGTTTCGGTGATTTGAGGCAAACCGTTCAAAAATCGAAGAGCAATACCATAAGATACGAAACAGTCAACATCCTGAGTTTTCTAACCTCCTCTTTCTAACTGAGCAAGGTTTGCGCTGACTAACCTCTTCTTCGAAAAGATATGACTATTTGAGATGAAATGCCAAAAAACAGATTTCTTTGAAAAACTGGTTATGCGATATCTTGCTCTGTCAGAGAGAGAGGAGGTCAGAAAAGTTATAACGCTGAATTTTCGGATTTTATAGCACCGTTTTTCGAGTTTTGAACGGCTTGCCTTGAATCGCCAAAGCTTGGGTAATGTTCTTTTTCTAATCTTACCTCTGCGAGTAAAGCTTATTCGAGAGTATCCAAGATGTTATTGAAAGCGAATGAGTTGCTCTTTCCAATTTTCATGCAAGTTACTCATGATAGAAGTTAAGACTCTTTGATAGCGCGAGAACTTTCGGTTCAATCTAATATTACAGAGCACAACGATGAAGAAGAAGGGTTTCGGTTAGTGTCGTATCTTTTTGCACAAGACATGTAACATAATGTTTTTCAGAGCAAAATTAGCCTTTATTTATACCTGAATTTTCTTGATCAGAGCGTTTGTCAGCGTCGGCACATAGACTCCTCCATAAGACTCGCCTATAAAAAGTTATACCTCATATCAACTCGTTAGCCTCTTAATTCTGTGTGCCATACCAGAAATATAAAATGAACGCTTCTTATATTCGGGAAACTTTTCGAAGAACGACGCCAAAGCGAGAACATTATCGTCAGCAGTCTAAAAAGCTCGATACCTGGAGCGAAATAGCAAAATTAACATCTTTACGAAGCCTACGTAATGATCGTTATATATAGAATCAGGCTTCGCATCGCTACTTCGGTATGAGAATCCAACGTCACGAGGTGCTTCCAAGAAAAGAACGTTCCCAACCTACATAATTGGTACGTTCAAGATATCAGATATCTCATAAATTTTACTACTTTGTTCCATGAAAAAACGTTTTCAAACAAGGTTGAGCCATCAGGATTGACATGAAATGGGCCGAGCTCCTCAAAAAGACCACCTAGCGAGGAGCATCCAGGGCCACCATTGAGCCAAAGAATTAGTGGATCATCTGCTGGTGAATTTTGTGACTCCGTCAACCTAAAAGAAATGTTGCTATAAAAATTTATGGATTAGAATATTCATGTGGAGGTTATATCTCTAATTGATCACTCACCAATAGTGTAGATAGTTTCCTGGACTAGCGGCCAAGTAACCAGAATAATGTTTGAAGTTGAGATTCCATGTTAGACCAGGCAAAGCTCCCTCCTTCACAAGATCTTGTTCTTTGGTGCCAATGGTTGGTGGTCCAGCGGGACTGGATGCTCGAAGCGGACGCGACTGAATCAGAAAATAGAATGCACTTTCGAATTTTCTGATATTTTCTAAAGTTTTAGTGAAAGCGAAATCAAATACCATATTATGGATTTTTGTAACTAAAATGGTTGTATAGCCTACCGCAGCAGATTTGTTTTTATCCTTTCGTCTGGAGCCTAGTTTGAGTGCCCTAGTTGAACGACCAACGTGCTCTTCATTCTTCTTCGACGAGCTCTAAAAACATTTCCTCTTCCTTTACTAATCTCATAAAACAATCCACAGCCTTACCACTGCCTGATTCTGATAGTCCTTTTTGAGTGAATGTAATTCAAAGTTGAAAGGCAACTCCCTGCTATAGTCTTCTTCACGCAAAAAATTCTCAAACATTTGAAGAGCCGGACCGGGGCGGTCTGATGGCACCAAATGACCGGCTCCCTAAAACAGCCATTATTGCTATCCGTACTTTATCGAATCTTTGGTTCTTTGCAAAACTATCAATATTATGCACTGCGATGATGATAGACGAAACCTTGGGGCCTAATCGCTGCAGTTCGGCTATTTATTCGGTTTTCTTATGGATAAGACGTGAGCTACTTACACTACTGCCTCAATTTTTCAATTTTTTGGTGAACCATTATCATTTACCTTAACTGTGAGGAGATCTATAGATATAGGTCCACGAGTGAATTTCTTGATGTATCCTGCGATTTGAGTTCGATACCTGTAAAAATTGCTTGGAAAAGTTTTGTCTTTACTCAGAAAATTTTTAGGTTGCAAAGTCACGGAGATGTTCAAAAGACTTTACATAGCTATCTATGCTGATGCTTAATTCAAAATGATTTATTTCCTGCAAATCAAATGCTCTCAGCATGTTCTGAAATGAGATCTCAGCTGAAGTTTTGGCAACATAACCAAGGTGTATTGGATTTGGTTAGCTTTCCCTCACAAATATTTTCCTTTCTTTTCCCTAATCACATACCACCAGCTTTTAAACTCCTGAGAAACGGTCATATTCCATCTTGCTGCCAAAGCTTCGATAAACCACTGGTCTCCCAAAAAATTGCAAGCTTGGTCTACATCGCCATTGTATATTAGTACTCTTAGCGGATACCCAGACCTAAAGGAAATATTTCCTTAAAAATGCTCTTAACGATGTTGTTGCCAACTTACTGCACTATGTGGTCGAATACTTTACCAGTATCATTATGCTGTTGTACATAGTAATCATTCATATCATCGCTAAAGAAGCAAATTGAACTCTGGAAAAAAAAACGCTGATGGAAACATACTTGCATGATGACCAGTTTGCGGCTGTAGATGCAATGTGCAGTGCGGTTCGCACATCCTGAAAAGTTATTACCGTAATCTCATCTCGGTACAGTTCTGAGCTGACCAAAGTTTTTTTCCCCGATAGTCGATTTTTTGACGTGAAAAAAAGCTGTAGTGGCTTAACCACTATCAATGTTTCACATTGCGAATCATTTATGACCGCAACGCAGCAGCGACTGCAGTCCGCGCTTTGCCTGCGTCAAAAATCAACCATATCCTTTAGTCAGAGGAGGACAGTTGCGATGTTTTTCCAGAAAAATTCTTTCCACTTAGCAGTCGCCTGAACTGGGGATTAAGGTCGAAAAGGACATTGGCGCAAATGCACAGTACCCTCCGCGATTTTTGTCTTGAATTCGCTATAGCCTCCTGGAATTTTTCCTGTTGTTGTTTTCCATTCTGTTTTTCATTTCGCAAATAATTGCGACACTTCTCTTTCCAAGAAAACCGTTCCAAATAAAGCTCTTTTGAGCTCATCTTCGATCTCTTCAATTGAGAAAAGGCCTACGCTTAGTAGGAACTGCCTCGTCCTATTACGGTTGGATTAGTGTCGCACATGTAATCAGTCCAAGATCAAAACAAGGCGATAAACATCGGCTCTTCTTCCATTCTGCGCATTCAAGCTTGCAAATTCAGAAGATTCCTGATCTGCTACGTAAGGTAGGTTTTATTTAGTAGTTAAGTACAAGCGAGAACTAGACATCCACCCAAACAATGTATCTAGTTTTGAAGCGATTCATGAAATATAAAAGTTTACAGTTTGAAATGGAGCACTGCTGCACCTGTTTGCTGGACATCGTCTCCGCTGTTAGAGAAAAAAGACTT